GACTTTATCACGTTAATAGAGCAACAAAATGTGTAAAACACAGATAAGAGAGCGATGAGTACGCAAAAACGACCGAACAGGCCAACGAACAATCGATAACTGATAAATATTTAAAATAATTTAATTTTTCTTGTTCTAATTTATTATAAATATTTTTTTATTTTTTTTTTATTAAACAACTATCCGCGGCGTCTATGGCCATTGGATGTAACAGTACATTATTGTCTTTAAGTATATTTACATATTACGTTAATATTTGAAAGGTATACAAAGTAATTTAGTATTTAAAACAAGACAAGATAGTAATAATTAGGAGACAGGTTAAGTGATGGTATTATTTAGAATTTACAGTTTGTTTATAAGATTCGTTTGCTTGAGAAATTGTATGATCTTGTGTATATTGTTGGGGTCCGGATTGAGTGCTTCGGCGAGGTGGTTGGATATTTGGTATAGCCTTCTTTCTTTGTCGTAAACTTTGCATTCGGTTAAGATGTGTTTCACAGTAAGGGGTGTTCCGCAGCATGTGCAAACTGGGGGGTCTTCCTTCTTTATTAAGTGGGAGTGTGTAAGGTGGGTGTGACCAATTCTGAGACGGTTTATAGAGGTCTCAAGTTTTCTTGAGATGTTATCTGGAGGTGGATACGGTAGGATGGTTCTCTTGATTTCGTTAAGTTTGGTTGACATTTCATTCCATTCCTTTTGGCAGTGAAGTAGTGTATCCTTTTCGATGACCCTCTTTATGTCGTTGAGGGAGAAAAAGGGTAAGGAGAGATAATTTGGGGATGTGTGAGCGAGTTTGGCGGCTGTATCTGCTAGTTCGTTGCCGTCTATATTACAGTGGACAGGGATCCAAGAATATGTGATGTTTTTGTCCTGTTGTTTTGCTATGTAGTGGGTGTTTTGGATTTTTCTGACGATATCAGACGGGGAATACAGATTTTGGAGGCTAGTAAGAGCGGAGAGGGAGTCACTAAATATTGTAATATTGTTGTCATTTATTTCAGAGATGATGAACTCGATAGCTTTGAGGATCGCCAGGGTTTCTGCTGTATATATCGAACATTTGTCTGAAAGTTTCCATTGTATTGTAGTTTCATCGCATATGATATCCCGACTCGCCCTTCGATGATGGAGGCATCTGTATATATGTGGGTTTTTGGGTAGGTGTATGAACAGAAGTCTCTGAATGCATTCTTGAAAATGTGAGGACAGGTTGAGTTTTTGGGGAATTGATGTAAGTCGATGTTGATATTCATTCTGAACTGCCATGGGGGACATAGGGGTTTTTCATATGGGATTATATTTTCGAGGTCGTATTTTATGAATGAGTGATTGAATGTATGTTTAGGGTGATGAATATGATTTTGGGGGGATCTTGAAATTCTTGCTGCTAATTTGTGGGTTTGTTCTCTCCACCGTACTTCTAAGGAGGGGATTTCAGCAATATTTAAGATGCTTTTTATGGGGCTTGAGCGGAAGGCACCGATGGAAAGTCGGATTCCCGAGTTGTGGATAGTCTCCAGTATTTTAAGTTTAGTGGGTTTCGCAGATGAGAAGATTGGAGCGCCGTAATCCAGTTTCGATAGTATGAATGCTTTGTGTATCTTAAGAAGGGTTTGAGATTTGGCTCCCCATGAGGTATGACCTAGGGGTTTTATGATGTTGAGTCTAGGTGTGGTAGTGTTCTTTAGGTTGAAAATATGAGGGGTTAGTGTTCTTTAGGTTGAAAATATGATTGGTCCATGAAGCTTTATGGTCAAAAATGATGCCCAGTATTATAGCATTGGGTTGGTTTTCTACGACTTGGTCTCCGAAGTTGATGTGTATTTTCTTCTTATTCCTCTTGTGGCTGAAAACTATAAGGTTGGTTTTTTCCGGAGAAAAACGGAAGCCGGAAGTTTTTGACCAGGACGTTAGTTTGTTCGTGGAGTCTTGAAGTATCGATTGAATAGAATTAACGTTAGTACTGCGGCAGAGAATAGTGAAGTCGTCTGCGAATAGTAGAGGTATGTTTGGGCGTGAAATTCCTTCAGATATATCATTGATAGCGATCAGGAAAAAAGTTACCGAGATAGTGGACCTCTGTGGGACCCCACTTTCTTGGAGAAAGGTGTCTGAAAGCGTGTTGGAGGTTTTTACTTGAAAGGTGCGGTGGTTGAGGAAATTCGAGATGAAATCTAGCATGTATCCTTTGGCTATGATTTTGTTGAGTTTATTTAATATTCTGGGTCTCCATGCCGTGTCATATGCTTTGACTATATCAAAGCTGATCATTCCCAAGTTTTGTTTATTGTTTAAGGAAGAATGAAGTTCATTTTTAATGGTTAGAAGGTTGTTCATTGTGCTTCTGTTACATCGGAATCCATTTTGTTCGGGGGTGAGAAAGTTGAGGTTTTCAATAAACCATATGAGTCGACGGTTGACTATTTTTTCGAGTTATTTACATAAGGTGTTAAGTAGGCAAATGGGGCGGTAGCTTTCTGCTAAGAATTTATTTTTGTTAGGCTTGAGTATGGGGATAACATAACCGTGTTTCCATGATTCAGGGAAGGCGTTGCTATCCCAAATTAAGTTGTAGATGGCTAAGAGGTGGTTTAAGGTGTTTTTTGGGAAGTTTTTGATGAAGGAGTAGAGGATCCCATCGGGGCCAGGAGATTTACTTTTACAATTGTGAAGGGCGTCTTCAAGTTCCTCGATCTTCAGTGGAAAGTTGAGTAGGGATTGCTGTGAGTCGAGAGGATCTACTGTGTTGACTGGGTCGGCATAGCATTGTGAGTAGTTTAAGAAATCTTGGTCATAGTTAGCATTGCAAGAGTTTTCATGGAATATACGTCCCAGAGAATTGGCTACGTCATAAGGTGATGTGGAGAGTTTTGAGTCAATGAGTAGATTTATGACGTTAGATCTATTGGTCCCTTTTATGGATTTAATTTTTTTCCAAACAATGGAAGAGTCCGTTTGGTTATGTGTGCTGGACACGAAGTTTTTCCAACTTGAAGCCTTGCTGTTTTTTACGAGGAATCTTGTGCGTGCTTTGCATCTTTTGAGGGCGATAAAATCTTCTTGGGTCTTGGAGGTTTGAAATGTTTTTAGTGCTTTGTTTTTGACTTGGATGGATTTTTCGATGTCATCGTTCCACCATGGTACTCTGGGTCTATGTGTAGTCTTATTTGAAGATTCGCCTATGGACATTTTAGCTGTATCTTGAATAAGGGCGGTAAAGTTTGCTACATCAGTGGTGATGCTCGTTCTGGAAGGAGGCGGTAAAGAGGGGGTTGCCATCAAGGTAGATGAGAATAGATTCCAGTTAGCGTTTTTTATTCTCCACATAGGAGGGTAATTAAGGCGGGAGTTGTCCAACGGAAGGGTGATCGATATTTCTATAGGGATATGATCGCTGCTATATATATCAGGGAGAGTGTTCCATTCTAGTTTGTGGGACAGGGACGCGTTGGTGATGGATAGATCTATAGCTGACGAATGTCCGTTAGAAGGATTTATTCTGGTGGGTTGTCCATTGTTTAGTATAATAAGACTGTCGTTTGAGAGTAGCTCTTCAATTATTCTACCTCTGTAGTCGGTTTGTATGAACCCCAAGTTTCGCTGTGGCTATTGAAGTCGCCCACAATTACAAACGTGTTGGGAAGTTGTTGGATGATATGCTCTATAATTCTATATCGTAGAGTGTAAAATCTTTTTGGTTGGGTATATAAATGTTACACAGAGTTAAGGTTATGTGGGGAAGTGTGATTGAGAGTGCTATGGCTTCTAAATCAGTGTGGAGTGTAATTTCTTGGGTGGGGAAATTGTGGTTGACCAGAATAGCGACTCCTCCGCTCGATCTATTGCATACATTTCTGTTTTTTTTGAAAATATTGAAGTGAAGAAGAGTGGGATTGCTTTTAGTATTAAAATTGGTTTCTTGTAGACATATGATTGTGGGGTTGTGGTCTTTGATTATTAGTTGGAGTTCTTCTAATTTGCTGTAGAACCCGTTTATGTTCCATTGTATAATGTTAGCTGACATGTTAATTGTTTTTAAAGATAAGATTTTGCTCTTGTATTGATAAGTTGTGACTAGTTAACTAGGCGCGGAGTGGTGATAGTACTGAGTGTGAGCTGATTGGTGTCGTGGATGATGTTAATTGTCTTGAAGTGGTGGAAGTGACTGGAATAAAAGGTTGGCCAGTTTGGTGAGATGAGCTTTGGTGGTACGTTCAGTGACTTTAGGTCGTATTGTATCGATCAAGAACATAAGCGATGTAATATCCGAGTTGATGTCTTTACAGATATTGTAGATGTTAAGTTTTTTGTTGGTAAAGTTCTCCAGAACGTATTTGAATTGGTGTAACGAAATGGGGGATTCATTGGAGAAGATGTCATCTGCTGGTTTGAGCCCATCGGATATTTTGTCGGCTGTCTTAGATGAGGAATTGGAACGGGATCTATCTACTTTAGCTTTTTTGGAGCTATTCCTGCTTTTGTTGGCGTTTAAGTTTGCCTTAGGGGGAGAAGTAGGTAATGTTGTAGATGAGTTTTCGGAGAAGTGTCTTTTATGTGGTTCACAAGGTGCATTGAAGTTTATCTCGGTTTTTTTGGCCTGGTTGTGGGAGGGGGACTGAGATGTATCATTGGTTTGATGGTCTTCTGAGATTCCTTCCATTGTTTGGAGGGGCATGTGTGATGTATTAGGATTTTTTTTTGGGGATGGGGAGGGTATATTTATTTCTGAAGTACTTATGCTAGTATGAGGATATAAGCTGGGTTCTTCCATAGTCGGGTTTCCACAGGTGCAGGTTGTTTGGGTGGAGTAGCGGTTTGGGGATTGACATTAATTTTCTTGCAATTGTTAGAGGTGTGGCCAGTGGATTTGCATAAAAAGAAGGTGATTCTATCGTCGGTGAAGAATATTCTATATTCAGTTTGATTATATAGTAGTGGTAGAGATCCGGGAAGGTTTGGAGATTCTTCGTGTTAAATGAACATTTGGCGGCGGAAGCTTAATATGTGTTTATATCCCTCAATGTTGATACCTGCTTTGAGGTATGCAATTTCGGATACATTGATAACATTGATTTTTTTGAGCGCATCGAGTATGACGTGGTTGGGGATAGAAGGCAGACGTTAGAAATGACAATCCTCTTGGCTGGATTTATGAGTCTGCGTATATGTATTATCTGTTCGTTAATTGTAATTGTTTGAGTGGCTTCTAAGAGTGAGTCGAGTATTTGCTTGCTTGAGAGAAAAATGCAAAAACGGTTGTTAGATATGCGGGAAACGAATAGAATGTTCTTTGGCGAGATTATTTTACCTATGTCGACAATGTAGTCTCTTTGAGGTATTCCCTCTATAGAATTAAACACAAGTGCTTGTTCTCTACTGGGATAGTTTTCATTAGATGCCGTGGACGCATAATTATGGTTTGTGTTATGTGTTGTGGTGTTGGTAGTAATTACTTGATTGTTGATATCGCTGGTCGCGGTAGACGTTGATGGCAGAAGTGTTGGTGTAGTCGGAATAGGAGTGTGGGGTGGGGTGGCGGAAGTAGGGGTTTTGGGTATCTTTGTACGACTGAGTAGAGTGGTTTGTGAATTGTATGCATTTGTAGATTTGGTTGTTTGTGTTCCATTGGATTTAATAGTGGGTTTATTCGATATCGGTTTGCTAATGACCGACGATAATGACGGTCTGCCCGTCTTATTAACGTTGCTCATTACGCGATAGGAGGGCAGTTACATAATATGATTATCTTACCCGTATGCGTGAGTCCAACGGTGATGTGCTATCGGGAGCTTATAAATGCGCACTCGCGAAAAGTAAACACGTGCTACACGGTCGGCTGTTAGACACGTACTGTTATAAATATTGTTACATGCGGCCCTTCAGGGATCCAAAAGCTGGTGTACTTTGATAAATAATAATAGTCAATTAGTATGGTAATCAAATGTATTATATTAAACCAGACAAAACAAGCAGAATAATAGTGTTGAATGTAGCGAATTGTAGCTCGTTCCGTAGTTGATAATCTCCGTGTAAGTCGTGTGTGATGGCTGGGCGGCTAAGCGAGTCGTGTGGTGTTCTCGTCTCTGGATACATCTACTCAGGCTGTCTCGCTGTCCCCTATATATATGGTGGCGGCGTCCTTTGAAAGTGAGCGGCGCGTGTACAGTCGTCCTTGATATGGACCTCACGACTATGAAAGTGGTATTCGTAGTCGAAAACACTTTTGGGTGTGGTCGCATTCCTGGTTGTTATTATGAGCAAATATATGATATTGCGTAATCCCATTCCTGGTTGTTATTATGAGCAAAATACATGATGTTGCGTAATCCCATTACACCTCCCTACCAAAAAAAAGATTGTTAACCTTTAAGGGTTAAGAATCTTTAACATCGCTAATTAATAGCTTACAATGGCTGAATTACATTGTTTACATTGACATTTAAATTTTGTATACAGTTAACAATTTGATTATAGTATTACATTTGATTACAATAATGTGAGCATTTTACAATTTTTAATGTCATCATTATTATTATTATTGTTTTTTTTTCTTTTGTTCATATTACAATTTTAATTGTGGTTAGTAAAATAAATTAATACATGATTTAATTAAACAAATAGTGTTAATAAAAATGATTAATAATATTTAATAAAATAATATAGGTACCTGAAATTATAACATTATAAGCGTTACGTAAGTATACAATTTAAGTATTTCCTCTTTTATATAATAATAATATTTATCTTCCACCTATATACTAATCTAAGTGAATAATTGTTAGATTTGTCATAGACATATGCAACTATGGTTCTATTCAAGGTAATTCATCATGTAAGTTGGATCTCTAGTGTTTTCTATTATTTTTACTAATTGTTTGCATTCTCCATTACAATGATCATCTATGAAAAGTTCAAGGCTTCTAGTTATTTTATTTAAAGTTTTATGATCGTAGTGGTTATTTATTTTCTTGTTTGCCTTTAATATATGCCAATTAAAGCATACGGATTGTAACTTATTTTCTTTAACGTTATAAATATGTACTTCTGTTTTTAAAATTGTTTTTAGCTCTTCAATGAATCTAAAATATATAATAAATGTTAATTTATGTATTTGTTTTCATTATTTAATTTATTTTGTGTTATATTTATTTATTAACTAATAATTATTATTTATTTTGCCTTAAAATTCCTTTTATATTTTTTTGCTAATTTATATAGTTTAATGGGCTTTATCTTTGTTACTATGTAATTGAATAGGCATTTCGTTAAAATTACGTCGGCAACTGGATCGTGACAATGTGTAATATTATGATTAATATCGCATGCTAGTTCATGAGCTTCTGATAGTCCTAACATTCTACCATTTTTATTTAATTTACCTAAATAACCTGAATATAAAACTTCCTTAGTGTCTAGGTTTGATAATTCTAATATAAATTCGTCATTATTCCTAACGCTAATTGCCGATATGTTTAAATATGCTAAAATTCCTGTTAATCTTAAACGCTTAATTATCGTGATATCTGATGTTCCGTTCCAAAATACTATTAGCGGCTCCCTATCGTTTATATGCAAATATCTTTGCAAGTATACCGTAGACAAGGTTGATTCCCCCTGGCGACTTACACTATTGTATAACTGTTCCAGCAATGGTTCAATCACTCTTGCCTTTTTCCCTCGGAATACTCGTTTGATATTCTGCACTATTTTCTTTAGGTCGCATCGGCGGAATCTTCTTAACTTATCATCCTTTGTAAGTATAAGAGGACTCCCCTCCAATTTCTTGGGTTGGTACTTTTCTAAACTATTCGATATCGCGCCGGATACCAGTAATGTTTCGTTCTTACTGACGGTAAAGAACTCGAAATCCATTATAAAAAAGCGTACCTGTGAGCTAAAATAAAATAATTATTATTTTTTTTTTTAAATTAATTGGTTTTTTTAGTATTTATCGCTATGTATATGATATATTCCTGAAGTTATTCTTCGAAAATCGTTTCGACGATGACTCGTCTTCTGATTAGTTGTTCTATTAGTAAACCCAACTCTACACACATGGGTCGACTATGATTTGGTCTTATGATAACTGTGCTTACAAAGTCATTAACATGGATCATGACCCTTGCTAAGACATTCGGCCTGAAAGGTATGGTCATATTATTATTTGCCCTTCTTATGTGTTCCGAGAAGCAATGTAATCTGACTACTTCCCCTCGCGTTATTTGTGTATGATTGGTTGATTCAATTAATTCGTTTTTTAATTCTCTGAGAAAATCAAATGTTTGTAGTTGCATTCGAACGGTTCGTGCTACAGGTGGTATGTTCTCACCCATTTTGTACTTTAAATTTTACGTTTGTTTTTATATATATTTTTTGTTTTCTTCTTAATTTCTGAAATAGTTAAAAGTTATTGTTATATAAGTATTATTTAGAATATTATTTACGTATATGTATATATTATTATATTTTTTATGCACGTAATATTATTTTATTTAAATTATAGAATATTATTTTACGTATTATTTCTTTATGCACGTATTATATCTTATTATTATTTTTTATTTTATTTTTTTGTTTTGTTTAATTTATTTATCGAATATGTTCTTCACTGTAAATTTGGTGTTGAATATAATATTGATCTAATATTTCTGCGATTTTTAAACACATTGAATTATAGGCTGGTTCGCGGTTACATCTAGTGCAAAAGAAGGCTGTTAACGGACCCATAACGGTTTCAAGTTCAGTTTCGTTAAAAGGTACTTGCATATTATTATTTGCGTCTATTACGTGTTGTCTAAAACAACGTACATATATTGTGTTCCTTAGTACCAATTGATCATGTGTATCATTTAGTAACCTATCCCTTAGTTCCTCATAAAAAACATTAGGCTCAGGCATTGGTGTGGGTTCGCTCATGTTTATGTATTTTATTATATTTATTTTGAAATCCCTCTTGATTGTTTCCTGAAACATAATTATATATATATAGTATTTCTTTAATAGTTGACATATACCTAGCTCTTATTTATTTATTAAATTAATCGTTTACCTCTAATTTAATTATTATTATTGTATATTATTACTATTTTTCCTAACTTATATTTTATTTTTTTTCATTTATTGTTATTATCTTATTTTATTATATTTTTATTTTAATTAATTAATTAATTTATCTTGGTGAAGGGGGTGGAGTAAAGGGTGTCTCTTCATAATTTCGTACGTAGTCATTTCTATTTGGTGCCCTATATCTAACTATTCTGCCGGGAAATTCCATGACTTCTGTGGACCTGATATACTTGCATTTTATCATTATGTAAATTGCTATTATTAGTATAATAGATATTACTGCCAGTACTATTGTTACATATAGTAAATTACTGTGTACAAATTGATGCTTTTGATTTTGTTCTCTTGAAAGTTCTTGGTTAATCATTTGTTGTACTTCGTCTAAAGATTTGGATGCATCGTGTAAATCTGTGAATTGCATAGCTAGTCCCTTTTCCCATTTTTCATCTGTTTCGAATTTGTGTATATGTTCGGGTATTTTTTCTAAAATATTACTCATGTTAGTTACAAGTGTAAAGTCTTTATATTTTGTAATTTGGATTTCTTCCGTGGCAGTTAATACTGCGTCCCGTGCAAATACTTGACAACTAATGTCGTTTATAGCTATTTCTCCTGCTTCATTTGTTTGTATTATAAATGGGTCTATTAAGTTCGCGCAACTTACAGTTAAAGTCTCTTTTCCTGCGTGAATCCATGTATTTTTTCTTTTTAATTTTTGGTATATGCTTCTTTTTAAATTTATTTTCTTTACTGTACATAACTCAGGATTAGCATACGTGTCAGGTTTTATAAAGTTTTGTACTTCGCATGGTTGGCGTTCATTGTTGTCCTGTATAGGTTGTGGTGTATTACATATTTTGTATATTGATGTTTCTTTACATTCGTTTAATTGTTGATCTGTGTATGTAGTAAACCTTTTATAGCCTTTGGTTACAGCAATATTATTATAAGTAATGTCCATCATGTACCATCCACTAGAATTATCTTGGTTATGACGCATTGGTACTGGTGTTAACCTGTATAATCTAAGTTCAGTGTCAGTAATCAGTGGTATTACTATATCGAATACTAATCTGTCGTTCGAGTAGTAGATTTTTACTTTTGTAATTTTTTGAAATTCATTTATTTCATATCTCTTTGTTCCCATCGGAATACTGTATATTTTCTTTATATTTTGTTCTATTGCTTTTAATGTTGATGCTAGTTCTTGCGGTGTCATAAGACTTGGATGTATCATACCTTCTCTAGCGGCAGTTACTATTTGTCCCAATATTTCTGTTTCGTAGGAATATTGATTAATAATTATTGTATATAAATTATGTATTTCATTTTTCATTAGTAAATCTAATATATCATTTGTTTTGTTTTGTATTTTTGACATTTTTTCGTTTAGTTTTTGTTCCTTTTCCGTAATATTATTGTATAATTGTTCGGTTTGATTTATTGTGTTACCAATACTTCTTATTGTTGATTTTACTACAGTAGTTTGAGCTGCCATTATGTGTAATATATTAGTTCCTGATTCTTCCGTTTTTTGTATAGCTTCTTGTGTTTTCTTAGTGCACTTGTCATCACATACGCCAAATAACGTATGCATGGTGTTACCTATTATGTTTATTAATCCCCTTTTCTTTCTGTTGTTTTT